AACAATGGGATACAACGTAACAACAATGGGATACAACTTAACAACAATGGGATACAACGTAACAGTGATACAGTGTAACAGTGATACAGTGTAACAACAATGGGATACAACGTAACAATAATGGGATACAACGTAACAGTGATACAGTGTAACAACAATGGGATACAACTTAACAACAATGGGATACAACTTAACAATGGGATACAGTGTAACAACAATGGGATACAATGTAACAACAACGGGATACAGTGTAACAACGTGATACAATGTAACAGTGACTGATACAATGTAACAGTGATACAATGTCACTGTGTCTGACACAATGTGACAGTGACAGATACAGTGTGCCAGTGATGTGATACAATGTAACGGTGACTGACACACTGTATCAGTGACTGATACAGTGTAACGGTGACTGGTACAGTGTAACATTGATGTGCTACAATGTAACAGTGACTGGTACAATGTAACAGTGATACAGTGTAGCAGTGACAGATACAATGTACCCCGTGATGTGATACAGTGTGACAGTGATGGATACAATGTAACGGTGACTGACACAAAGTATCCATTGGAGGGGTACAGCACTGGAATTTCAGCTAAATTTAGGTTGGAATTCAGATTGAAATTTAGATTTAGATTGGAATTTATTATTGTTATTGTTGGGTTATTGGTGGCATTATTCATTTATTATTATTATTATTATTAATTATTATTTAAGTAATTATTATTATTGTTGTTGTTGTTGTTGTTGTTGTTGTTGTTGTTTTTCCCGGAAGATCCGAATCCCGAGGTTCGAATTCCAGACGTTCCCGGCGCCCTCCGGATCCTGGAGAGAGCCCTGAGACCCCCCTATGGAATCACCCCCTATGGAATCATCCCCTATGGATCCCATAAACCCCTATGGATTCATCCCCTATGGAATCATCCCCTATGGATTCACCCCCTATGGAATCATCCCCTATGGATCCCATAAACCCCTATGGAATCACCCCCTATGGAAT